AACCTCCCCGCCGCCCAAGTGGGTCAGGACGAGCTGGAGGCCATCGTCAAGATCGGTCAGGCGAGTGAACGTGCGCGCTCGCTCGTCGAGGAAGGATCGAGCGATGCGACCGACGGGCTGCTTGAAAGGTACTCGACGCTCGACTCGGCGCAAACCGCGCGTACGCCGCAGGTCGCAGCGAACGAGGATGCACTCATGAGAGAGGCGAGGAATCTGCGCCTCATGTCCGCAGCTCAGACGCCGCTGCTGGGCGACGCCAACGCCGACCTAGATGGACACCAGGCGGCCAGCGATTCAAGCACGCGCCTCTCAGTCCCGCAGACCCCCAACCCGCTCCTCACAAACACGCTGCGAGACGAGCGCGGTGCATCTGCTGACAGAGCTGGCGGAAGCACGCCTCTGAGGACTCCACTGCGCGACAATCTGGGGCTCAACCTCGAAGACCGCAGTCGGGCCGGATCCGAGACGCCGCGCGACCTCAAACGTGCGCGTAACTTGGCTCAGTCGAACCTGCGCCACGCACTCTCGTCGCTGCCCGCGCCCAAGAATGACTTTGACATCGTGGTCGACGACGACGATGACGAGCCCGAGGCGAGCACGAGTGGGCATCAAGAAAGCGACGCATCGACGCGCCAAGAAGACGCAGCGGAGCGCGACGCCAGGATGGCGCGGGAGGCTGCCGAGGAGGAGGCCAGGGCAGAAGCAAGACGCAGTCAAGTGGTGCGCCGGAACCTACCTCGACCGGCCGAGGTGGACCTGGCGCGGCTGATCGCGCAGGTCGAGGCGAAATACTCGGAACGGGTCGAGCTCATGGTTGCTCGCGAAACAGCCTATCTGCTGCACCACGATGTTCATGTACATCCCATCGTAGGCGGTAAGCATCCTGAGCCCGAGTCGGTGGAGCTGCAGGCGGTTTCGGACGACTCGCTCTCGGCCGCGCGCGAGCTGATGCGTGCCGAACTGGCGGGTCAGCTCGGATTCCCCGGCGCCAACGACGAGGTGCTGCGAAGACTGATTGCTGCATCGCTCGATGACGATGACGAGACAACGGCGACGCTCGAGGCAGCGCTCAAGCGCGGATGGGCAGCTTCACGAACCGACAAGGCGAGGCTGGAGCAGGATCTATCGCATGCGCGAAGCAGCATGGCAGCGGCAGCTCAGCAGGCGTCCAAGGGCGAAAAGATGCTGGGCAAAGTGTTGGGAGGCTACAAGGCGAGGAGCGAGGCACTGAGCGCAACGGCGAGGGAGACGTTCAAGGCGCTGGAGGAGGCGGCCATCTCGCAGCACACGTTTGCACGGCTGCGCAGAGACGAGGAGGGCGGACGTGCGGAACGACTCGACTCGCTGCGCCGGGAAGTGGAGCGTTTGGACAGTCGGCAGGGCGTGGCGCAGGGTGTGTTCAGAGCGCTGCAAGAAGAGAGGGATGCATTGCAGGACGAGTGCGAGACGCTCGAGATGCAACTCAACATGCGCCGTGCAGAGGCACTCAACGAAGCTGCGCTACGAGAGTAATGCCAACTCGCTTTGACCATTCAGACGTTGATCGTTGTGACCGACTTGCGCCGAAAGCGCCGAGCCCGTGCGGGCGATGTGACTCTGCGAAAATGGCGGGATGGATCGGGACCGAACCGACGAAGCGACGAGAGGCGCGACGGTCGCGTGTTGTGAAGCCGCCAAAGTGCACGGACTTGGCGGCTCCACCCTCCGCAAACGTGAGGCAGAATGACCGAGGTCGACAAGGCACGCCGTAGATTCGACCACGGCTCTGACACTGGATGGCACGTAGGGAACAGTCACATAGCTCCGAGCTAAAGCTAAAACCGGCTTGAAGCAAGAAAACCCCTTCGGGCGAAATGGGAGATGGGAGGAGGATTCTTTATCAGATCCGATCTGGCGCAACCTCGCTCTACACCCGCTTGGACGTTTTCAAACGGAGACGGGAGCAACAAGGCTTGGCACGGCACGCAGCTCATCTCATTGGGTGCGAATGGGTGCAAAGATGCACGGCGGAAGCTTCGAACACTCTCGGCGGCTTTCCCCTAGCCCTAGTGCGGCTGTCTGAGTTTCAACCGCCTGCATTCTGCTCGAGCCAAACTGCCTTGCTCGGCAAATTTTTTTTCTCTTCTTTTGGTTATCTGATCCGACCAATCTGATGGAAAAGCGCACGCGCTTTTCCGGTTCATCATTGCCCCGGCCCTCTCAGCTCCGGCTGCCTCTCCCTGTCTGGTGTGCCCTTGCGCCATCCTCCATTGTCTCCGCGCTCGGCCACCGAGCCTTGTCGTCAGCGTCTCTCGCATGCTCGAAGCCACACTACTCTAACTGTGTGTCAAACTTCTGCACCACCGCTTTGTTCCTGCGCTCCTCTCGCCACCGCAAGGCTCCCTCGCTTCCATCTGATTTGCTCCTTGCCACCGACGAGCAAGTTCGTTCGCCCGTCGTGCAGCGCATGAAGTTCGCTCTCCGAGTTCTTGGCTTGCCCTTCCACATGCTCGTCCTCCCCCCCTCGCCGTAGCCCCACTGTGAATCCACTTGCTCCTCCTTCCGCTTCCTCGCTTCGCATGCCGCATGCCATCCAGCTTTCGCTTGTGCCTGCAGAAAAGAACAAGTGAACAGAGGCAAGAAAAAAAGTTTCATCCGGCTCTACCCGCATCGCTTCTTCCCTCGTGTCTCTACACCGCGGCCTCGCTAGCACCACATGCGTATCCCTCGGCTAGCCACCAC